GGTGCTTAAAGTAGAATGATTCCATATTAGTCGCAATTAACATTACTAATTCTCATTACCAACCATAGCATAAACGAGACTCCAATGACATTTGTGCTCATGCAACGTTTGTATCTATTTGAGGCTTCATGTTTACAGAGGAAATGTATTTCTACAACCACAATATCATAGGTAATCATGGCAGTTTTAAATCAATATACAGGATGGAGAAAGATAAAAATAACAATTGGAAGTGTAGACAAAGAAAAATTCGGAAATTTAATTTTACCGTCGGTCATGCACTGCCAATGTTACCGGAGAATGAACATCGTTCAACGAATCATCTCATTCCGGACAACTATTCGAAGGAACAAACCGATTTAGCCGAATTGCGAATGACCAACTCGGATGATAAGCTCCGGCTTTCCTTGAACAGGTTGTGGTAGATAATCGATCGTGACCATTGATCAATAATGACTCATTTGTACAGTATTTAACAATTCAACATCATGCGGTAGGACAACGACAGTCAGGTGTCATGATAGCAAACCTTCATGAAACATTGTTAGAAGTTGTAGGCTTGGTTTCTTTATTTTGCTTATCTTGTTGGAAATCATGCATTGCTTAATAATCAATAGAATCCATAAAAAAGAGTGAATGATTTTGGTCATCGTAATAATCTGCTTGCTTGTATGGGAAAAGAAATCGGCACGCTAGATTCCTTAAGCTCTTTGATTTGGGAGGGGAGGTGTAAACAATGACTCGGCGGAGGAAAACGGAATGACGATTTTAAGGGATGAAAGTGCGTAAAAATTTTTGTCATAGTAAACCTGGGAATTAACGATTTCTCTCAGCAATATCACTATAATTATTACCACCGATCACCATCACGGGAGTATTTGATTGCGAAGTTCAGCTTTTCTCGATCCCAGTATGTACTGTGTGTACGTAACGTGCGTAAATAATAATTTCCATCTCAATTTGGAAATCTATGCAATCCCAAGTGGTCGTGCTATATTTGCATTGCATCCAAGCACAACGCCCCTTTCTTGCAATTATTATTCGTCCCCCGTAACCTTAAATAATTATCAAATTCCACATTTGAAAATGCAGGCGAATGCAGGAGATTGAAATATCAACAGTACACCATGACAATTATGCGTAGATATGATTTCACGCGGTCCGTCCGACCTCGAATGTGTGATGAAGGTCAATAGGCTTTCCTCTTTTGCTCTCGACTGGCATTTCGGCCATTCGCGAGATGGTAATTCAACGATGATGCAAACAAAGGGATTTTGCGTGCATACAGCACAGCACACGCGTTCATTCACCTGCCCACCGTTCATTGATCGAGCTTTTTCGCTCACAATTCATCAACATTATTTATCATTTTATCCTTACCATTCTTATCATTCGTACTAATCCAGTCTTATTAAGCTTTTGAGACTGGCCCGCATAATTCACAACTCTAATTATTGTGACGATTTTTATTAAATTAATCCAAGGTCATCCATTGCACAACGGAACATTCGAATTCCACAAATATTTTTCCTCGACGACGGTCATGAAGAGTGCGTCGCAGGTCGTGCGGTACCAACATTTCGTGTGGTGGAGGTGCAAGTCCAAGATAATTCCCGTTGCACAATTGTAAATCAACGTTTGCGTACTGTAGTGTTGTGTATATGGCATACCCACCTTTTGGGCTTCAAGGTTCGAAAAGACAGGACCAATCAACATTCGACCTCTTCAAATTTCAGCGAAAGAAGAGAGAGGCACCAGCCATACGTACATACAGTATTATGCATCATGCTATTCGACGGGCAATTAAAGTTTAAGACGTTGATTGTGTGTCCCCCCACCAGGATGTTTCTAGTAAGTGTCTCTCAGTCCCAGACCTTAATTTACTAAAACAGGATGGGCCGTCACATTCTAGCTCACATAATACGCATAATGTGCGAGCGACGGAATTTTTGACGTTTTCAAAGAGTTTATTATCCCGGTCGTTAAGGAAGTAATCGTCAATCGCATGTTCGTACATGCTGATTGTTACATGAAGCTACACCGCCCGTCCGCCCGACTTTCTCACCCATCCAGCCGACTTACTAAAATGCATTATTCGGTCACGTGATTCCATTTATGTTGCGATCCCATGACGAGCATAAAACCCAAATCGAGAAATCGGCTCTCCCACCTACAAAATCCTGTCATCTTTAAAAAAAAGTTATCGGACGTCTGTTGACAGTAGACAAATCACCAGATGCAACCTTCACATTATTATTTATTTATTATTATTCATTATTTAGCAATTTCTTCACCACAATGGTCCCAATCGGTTTCCAACTAACCTATTCCCATCAAGGTTAATATTAATCACTTACTAGTTTCTCATCAGCGGGCGTGCAGGGTTACACGCGATGCTGGCTTAAGTCAAGCCTATTGAGATGTGTGAGATGTGAACAAATGTGTCATTGTTTCCTTCATTTCGTCATCCTTTACCTACCCTCCATCGTATGATCGTTCTTCTTCGACGATTAACCAATCTAACCTTCCTTCCGTCATGCTTTGCTAGCGCGAAAAGGACAAGGGAAAGAGGCTCGCACGCCATGCTTTAAAATTTTTTCCCAAAAGTTCTCCGCCTTTCGGAATTTCCAAATTTAGAAGAAACATGAATCTATAAAGCGTGCATGAGTACCTCACAAGCTGCCCGGTTCAGTACATACAGTACTTACGCGCATATCTTTAAATAGGCTATTAAAACCCTAGTTCCAAGGATGGAAATTCTGTCCGCCGTTCCTTGTCGCCACATCTCTCGCACAAACTCATGTTTACTCAGGAATCGACCATATTTGATTATTTGAATAACCTTTGCTAGGTTCGTACACCGTAATCTTTACGAATCATACGGTACGTAAATCGTCACCATAACATCATTACAGTCTTTCCTCACACCATTAAGAATCAAATCGGGACGCTTTGTTTTTTTCAATTGCTGAATTGGAAGGGTTTGGCCTGAAGGGCACAATGAAGGGAATTTCTCGACGTGAACGAATCAGCAAACGGTTACTCTCACTCTTAAAAATAATTCTGGGCTCATCTTGCATTAGGTCAACCTTTTGTCATTTAAAGCGTCGCATCATACGCTATCATATTCCTGGGATTGTTGTCCACTTCTGTATCGTGTCACGGAGCTGTAACACCGAATAAATGTTGTCTCCTGGGTTTTGCTTCTTTTGGAGAGATGATTTATGAAGATGGAAAAAAAAAAAAAAAAAGAAAAAAGAGATGATTTGCGATGTGCATTCTTCGAAGTCAACCACGGAGGTTGAAGTCAGTCAACCAATTGTAAATCACTTTCACGACAAATAGAGATACGGGGAAGCGAAGGGTCGAATTTCCAACGCCACATCGCACAGCGTTCATTTCTATACATACGAAAGAATGTTGGATTTGGTAATTTCATGATTTTAATATCGTGCGTACGGCATTCATGACACAGACGCGTGCCTTGTGTTTGCATGCTGGGTATGCTGTGCGCGCGTGAGTGTTTGTTTGGACCACAATTCCGAGGTCTCACAACCTTGCAGAAAAGAGATAACTTTTTTCATAAATCGAACTTTACGAGAAATGGTAGAGGGTGGCACGACAACCGATTGTCCACGCACTTGACTTATCGATAAACATTCTTAATGTAACACAGAAGTTATCGTACGAAAAAATCGCCAATTTGAATAAATTTTACAAAGAACGATCAACGCGTACCAGTATAACTGGTAAGGCTTGAAACCTTTCTAATAATGAGGAAAGAGTGAATAAGGAGCATACTAGGAGATGATCGGTTGCCTGGTAAAATTAAATCGAAGCACTTTGTTTGCCGTGCCAAAGGGAGATCGCACATCAGCATGAGACATTGGTCTGGGAGATGCAAGAGGCTCACTCACTCTCCCATGGGGAAAAAAAAAAAAAAAAAACCACCCACCACCGCTGCCCGGATACAGCCAATCGCTCGAAGAGTTCGGTGGGACAACGATGCCCTTCTGTTGTTTGGACGATAACGCGTTTTTTCGCTCAGATTATAGAGACGATCACGACCAACCATGACATTTTTGTCGTTATCGGCAAATCTAATTAAAAAAAAAATCAATCCATGTTTTTTTTATGATGGCCTTGTAATACGCGACGTGCATTCGATTACATGTCGGAAACGAGAATCGAATCTTACTTTTATCAGCATGAATGGAAGATAGACACGCACACCATAATAGTACAAAGAAACATCGAGATAAAATTAAACAAAGAATACGAAACAATTTTTTTTTTTTTTTTTTTTTTATTTGTAACATTTTGGAAGGCGAAGGGAACACAGTGAGAAAAATAAAATTCTCAGACCGACGATGTTGATACATGAGGAATGTAGAATGGAAGAAAAAAGACACTAATACTGGAAAGAAAATTTTGTCGTATATATACAAGGTCTGAAAACGAAAATATCTACATAAGAAAGTAAAATATTTCTACGTGCGTATAATATTAGATATTAAAAGTGATTAAAGATACAAAGGAAAAATAGTTTTTTTTTTTTTTTTTATTTAGATTTTCAATGAATTTCTGCTTAATACTCATTTCCTTTAGGAATCGTAATTATTCTCGAGAATAGGTTAAGTTAAAATCATAGATAGATGAAAAGTTTGACTATTTCATACGATGAAAGTCGTGGGAAGTTAAGTGATTCACCGTCTACGGACACGGTTGGTTAGGTTTTTTATCATAATTTTTTTCTTGACGTTGTATAGTAGTAGTGGGTCGCCGTTTGAATAATAATAAAAAAAAAAAAAAAGAAAAGGAAAGGAAAAGGAAAGGAAAAGGAAAGGAAAAAGAAAAGAAAAAAATAAAAAGAAGTTCAAGAACGCGTTCATGCATGATTCAAATTATGTGGCAAGAAGAAGAAGAAGAATATATATATATGTGTGTGTATATGTATATGAAAACCCCCAAGTATACACGTATGGAACCGGTGCACCAAATCACCAATGGGCCCAACCAACATATCCAGCCTTGATTTTTTCATCAACCAAATTTTCCACAAACTCCTTGGCATCCGCGTAATTCAGGTGTTGCTGAATGTGCGTCGCCCTCTCCTTGAGACTACCGTCAGCTCTGATGGTGCCATAGCGCACGTAGGTCGTTCGACCCTCTTCGACCATGAACTGCCAGAATTTGGTGGCGGTCTCGAGGTGTCCTGACGGTATGGGTGATAGGATTTCTTGATTGTTATTAAGAGGTATGGTGATATTCTTGTTGTGAGCGCATGATCTATTTATCGGCTTGTGGATGCCTCGGGTCTTCCTTGGCCACATCGTGAAGTCGTTAGATTCCATTATTGCAGAAGACATGGTCGTGTAGTTGGTGTTAGTTGTGGTGGTATCGTCGTTGTTGATACTGGTTGTTGAATTTTGGCGAGTGTTACCTAGTGAAGGCATAAGAGATGACCGAACAAGATATATTTTTTTTTTTTCGTTTCTTTAGTCGAGAGAAAGGGGGGAGCAAAGCGAACGCCGGTAAAGAAGATTTGATGTATACGGGTGCGAGAAGTAGCGTTATCGGGAAATATATATGTGTGCGTATCGAAGAAAAAAGTATATTCCCTTTTTTTCTTTTGTAAGAAAACCTTTTTTTTTTTTTTCAGGTTATGAATGAATATACCCAGAAAGAAGAGAGGAAAACCTCTTCCTTTTATAACTTTCCAAAGGTACGTAGAATTTTGGGGTTTTATTATTATTATTATTTTTATTATTATTATTTTTTTTTTTTTTTTATACAGCATGAAATAAATTTAAATGTATCAATTAGTAGTATATATACGCTACAATAAAAAAAAATTTTTTTTTTTAAAGTATTAAAACGAATATGCTGATTGTAGTATACTCTATTTATTGCATTGATCAGATTTCGAAAATAAGCACCTTCGACGGTGTTGCTTATTGTCGGAATCTCGAATTAAAATCGATGCCATAGTTATCCTGGCAGAGTTAGCACAAAATGTCGGTTGCGAGGATGATTGCTATCGCCTGAGAAATAATATAATTTCCCTTCGATTTGAATTTTATGCGTCCCGTGTGTCGCAATTTTATTTTATTTCGTTTTATCTTGGAAGACCCCCCCCCCGACAACTCTAAAAATAAAGTGTGGGACACACAATAAAAACGATCTCTTACGATCCCCTCGACACAATACCATACCGCGCCAAGTATTTTACAATTCCCGACTGCGCAAAAATTGAACACCCCAACCATTATTCTATACAAAGGATTGAGCGACGCCGCAGTAATCGGTGAGACGATTCACATCACACTTTTCTGGGAATTTGTTATTCTCCCGCACATCATCGATTTTATAACAATCGCTGGACAATATAATACCGTAGCTCAATAGAATTTCTCCATGAGTAATGGAACGGGCGGCAGGACCCTTTCATTTTTGACAAAAAAAAAAAAGTCCATGTATCACCGTTGAATAATCGTCCGACTTAACTGCGATCGGCCAGTTGACTGTGTCAAGAAAAAATTCGTGTGCGACTTCAATTAAGAATTACCATTCCGACAATATAAAAACTTTGACGTGACCACTGTATGCGCGAACGTTACCGACCTCCACTATTCAGCTAGGCGACGGTTTCTGCATGAAATTTCGGTTCTACAACATGACCGTTCATTCAACAAACGTGAGAGCTATGACGAAAGCTGCTTCTGAGATGTTCGTGTGAAACATTATTGAATGGGATCTCCCGCCAAAAAAATAAAATAAAATAAAAATAGAAGAAAAAAAATGAAATAATAATAGTAACAATGACAATGATGATGATATAATAAGAAGAAGAAGAAAGGAGACGGTCTCGCGTGCTCATCAAAAATAAATCAATATACGGTCTTTAAAAATAGATCATGATTGCATTCAATTAGCAACTGACACATCAAAATCACCCGTAAAAAAATCAAATAGATTTGTTACAAGTACGATGTTTTATGAACATCGAGATTACTTTATTAATAATATCGTAACGGTTTGGTTTACAAAGAGTTTTACGTACGTAATTTATAAGCGAGACGCAGTAGCATAACTTGTAGGAATTAAATAAAGATCAATTTCCAGTCGGAATCCTGAAGGCCGTATTAAATGTGACACCAATTTATGATTCCATGCATTACGTGAAGTCATTATGTAATACAACTACGGCATTATGTCACGAATGGTTGGCGTCGCGCTGTCCCAAAAGTTTCTGTTTGTTTTAAAAAAAAAAAAAAAGAGAAGCATTTCGCACACTCGCAAGGCACATGAAAAACACATTTCAAATCTAAAACGAAATGACGAATTCCAAAGAATTAGACGCTGACAAATTCCTTCTTCTGGGTGAGGTCCAAATTTGGATCTGTTTGAATCTCATCTCAGAAGAGCATGATGGCTTGCAATAATTGTCTGGTGACCTCCATTGTAAGTTTGCAAGAAACAGATGTTTGTAAAATACTTGTTATGGTAAATTAACCGACATTATTATTTGTGGGTTGTGTGGTTTCATATGACCCATTAATTTTTTTTTTTTTTTTTTTTTTTCGACCAAATTTGTCGTTTTGCAACGCACCATTATGTATCACGTGTACGATGAGCACTGAAACGTTCATAGATGAAGGCCGCAAAAGATGGAGATGAAAGAATCGGCAAACCATGAAAAAAAATAATATCGACTTGGTATGCATTATGGCGAATCTGCGGAATCAAAGGTCTTTGCATCATCAAATAATGTTCTCGACTGATTAAATTATGAATTAATCTCCTCTGGAGGATACATTATGCACAAGGCCTATTCCTTGTTATTAGTGAGTTTTATTATCGCACACCTGATTGCCTGATTACGGGATTTCATAAATATTCATATCACGGGTGGTCGCACAAAGTGCATGGAAACCTTACAATACTGTAATTTGATTGTTCGATCACAAGGATGGTGTATAAACTGCGAGGCGTTGAGGCTTGTTATCAATAAGGTCGATGCACTGTAAATATTTTGCACATTGAAAAAAATAGGAAGGACAAGGATATTTAGAAAAAAGGTGACCTCCTCATTCGCACATATGCGTGCTTGGAATAGGTATGTTCTTTATTAAAAAAAAAAAAAAATTTTTTTTTTTTCTTCTTTTTCTTTTTCAATAGTGTTATTACTATTCGTAGCTACTTTTGATGCACACATGCGGTATAGTCCAAGTGCGAATAAATTCAGAGGAATATTCCACGGGCGCAAGCCCTTATATACAATCTAACTTTAATCCATAAATGATTGTTTCTCTATGGTTAATCCAGTAAAAGTGTAACTTGACGTTTCGAGAGGAGTGATTTCCAAGGAGAAGGTTCATGGAAGGACGATGAATCGACTTTCCTTCCCGGAGCGATCCTATAGAACCTCCAAACTCGCCACCACATACAATAAAATACAGTATGACCTATGCTAACTCCCCAATAAGTCCGACATAATAAATTTTGACCGATTAGGAGAGACTCATATCTTTGCATGATTGTTGTGCGATTGCGCTATTTGCCCATTCCGTTTATCGTCTTGTTCCGGAACTGACTTCCGAAATTTATAAGAGTCGAGCCATACCGGTATAGTTTCAAATACCCGAGGCAAGATGATCTGCAGAACAAATGTCCGTCGTCCAATATTCTACTTTTCCAATTGTAACTTTCAGAAAAAGAAAAAACAGGGGAGGTGCCTATATTATTTAGATGTACGTAAAGGTTCATCCATGTAACAGCGGTTTCCGAGTGACTGCAATCTCCTGTGAGAAAGAAATGGAAATTCCATGAGTCTGTGCGATGACAAGTAACGGGAACTCGACCGGAACAATACTCACAGAATAAGATCAAAAGAGATGACCTTAATGACTCTGTGGACTTTGTCATGCATGTTCATATTAATGGCGTGGTCCCGAATTTCACATACTACATTCGAGTGGGGCTGAAATTCTAATGTAACGCATGAATTATTAAAGTTGAATACCAGGACTATCGTTATTGAGCCTTTTGTTTATTTCTTTTTTCATTGCCCGCACAATACTTGACATTAAGGTTGTTTATTTGGTGAAGCGTACCCGGGCAATGATCAAACATATGTGGAAGTTGAATCTGCGACTGTGTTTTGTGTTGTTTTCTTTTTTTTTTTTTTTACCCCACAAATATTCGCACCTGCTTACGGGATGTTTAACAAACAAGATTTCAAGTGAATTAGGATTAATTGTAAAAATATAAAGATAATACATGTGGATTTTTGTAACATCCGTTTTCACAACTGCGTTAGCCTGGCATGTAATAATCGAGATTTACCGAAAACCCGACGTCTGGCTGACTCAAATACACACTGATCGGCGAGTTACCCAGATGAGGATTTCCTTGGGTTTTATTCCACGAAACCCTTTCCAATTGTTCAATCGATTGTGAACGTATGTTGTGAATGGGATATTGTTTATTAGTTTCTTTCTCACAAAAATTTTTTGACACTTCACGGTACTCGAATGTCGTCGGTCAGGGCACCCGTGCACAGACTATAATTAACTCACGGAGAATAATCGTCGGATTGTTGTCAGCGGGTGTAGACAGACACAATGTTTACAATTTTGTCTCCTTGACATTGTGCACTTCAGCATCCGTACGGGAAAATTTTTTTGTGCAATGTCATGAATCGGGAAATCATGTCACCTAATAAATTTCGGTTCTGGTCCATCATTGGAGGGTTGGCGGTCAAACTATGATGGCGTGTTATTCAATTTTATCATTTTTAATTTGCACTTTCATATCAAAATAATTCCCCGCGCGGCGCAAAAGATTATCAGATCTTTTATATCATTCCACCACCATTCATTCAACCATTTAGGCGAGAGCCCAAAGTGCATACATTGTGTTTTAATTATTACATAATGTCATAAATCCTCCGTAATGGTTACGAAAACTGAAGCAATAAGTTTCTTTGAAACAGAATTCACCTTTTTTTGCGGCGGCCAAGTACCTCAATGGCAATACTGCAATTCTATTCCTCTCATACTGTGAATTTCCCAAATGAGAAGAATAAAGAATTGGTGCGAATAAATAAACCAAAACATCTTAATTGTGACTTTACAAAATGGAAAGACCATTATTGCATCTCTTTACTCACTTGATCAAATGTATATTTGTTTATAAACCAATTCTAGTGCACCTTGTTTATACTTTAGACTTATGTGTCGTCGAACACGACCGCAATAGTAATGATCACATCACACAATTTCTATTGCTGATCAATAATTTTATTTTACCAAGCACCAGATGATGTACCGTACATTCACCACAGGAAAGTCAACGGCCGATAATT